CTCTCTCTATCTCATTCTCTCTCTCAAATAAATAAATAAAATCTTTAAAAAAAAAAATTAATGAAAATGGCATAATGCTGTACATATTCTCCAGCCTGGGCATCCTTGAGTTTTCTGGGTGAGGAAGAAAAGAAGGGGGAGAAATAAAAATAAAAACAAAAACACACAGGGGGCACCTGGATGGCTCATTTGGTTAAGCGGCCAACTCTTGATTTTGGCTCAGGTCATGATCTCAGGGTCCTGGGATCGAGCCCTGCATCAGGGTCCACGCTCAGTGCGGAGTCTGCTTAAGGATTCTCTCCCTCTGCCCCTCCCCTTGCTTATGCTCGCTCTCTAAAATAAATAAATAAATAAATAAATAAATCTTAAAAAACAAAAACAAAAACTCATAGGCCCTTCACAAGCTATTCCTTCTGCCTAGAATACTTTCCCACTTCTGCCCCTCTGTTGCTCACATTAAGGGTCTCAGTTTCAAGGTCACCTCTTCTTGGAGGCACTCCCAGACCCCAGCTCCTCCTCCCAAGATGGGCTCTGCCCAGTGAGCATCCTGCCCCTCGGGTCCCTGAGCATGAGTGGCTCAACCCACTTACTCCCTGTCTATTTTCCCTGAAAGATGGAGGTCAAGGAGGCAAGGCTCCCTCCTGCCTTGGTCACTGCTGCATCCCAGCCTCTGGACAGTGCGTGGCCCCAGGCAGAGGGGCATCATGAATATGTGTTAAGTGAAATGAATCTGCCAGGTGCTAAATGAAACACCAGCTTCTTTTGCACAAACCCTGGACAAGGCACCTACTGGGCCCTCCACCTCTCGTGTCCTAATATCTCCTACCCCCATTGGCAGCAGAGTTCCAGAAGGCTGCTCTCCTTCTTGGGTCATTGTTTACAAACAAAAGAAGATGCATATCTTTTGGGAAACCTTCTATTTCAAATCTCCTGTAATGCTAATACTTAATGCAGAAACTCCATTAAGATGCTTTTTTTGGTGGCAATGGAGAAAAAGCTGCTGTTTTGTGAGATTATATTGACCAGGGGATTCATTATCTGCCTGTAGAAAAACAATTCTATATTCATGTTTTTTCCTGTCAACAGCTGAGTCCTGTGTGGGCCAAAGCCTCGTGCTGCCACAATGACCTCAGCTCACCCCACAGCCCCGGACATGTCCTTACTGTCACAGCCAAGTCTCTTGATGCCCGTTCCCAAGCTGCTGCCAGAGAACCACCAGGGCAGGTGCGTTTTAAGCTGATGGTTTGCATTTTCAGGATCCTAGGAGCACAATGCAAATAGGAGGGCAGCCTCTTTTGTATGGAATCGATTTCTGTAGAAATGGTAACTCTCCTTTGTGTCTGTAGCTTTTCTTCCCCCTAACACACCATTTACTAATTTGAGCAAAAAGATCTGTTTCTGCAGCATGTCTGATTTTTTTTTAAAGCCATCATTTCAATTTTCTAAGACTGCCCTCCTCCATAAACAGACCTCTGGGATGGCATGCTCTAAAATACAAGGCCGCACGTTGTTCACATAAAGTTCAAGAGGCACAGCAACTTGGTGTCATCTCACATATCTCCCCAAATGTAATGCAGAGAAATTTTTGTGCACACTATGCACAAATATTTGGCTCTATTTCAAGAGGGGGATAAATCAGAAGCTTACAAAATCTTATTCATGTATATTCTGTGTATATTTAAATACTTTGTATACTTAAATATTTGAAGAGGGCATTTTATAAATGTTTGGAAAATAAAACATACATTTTGATTAATGGAAATAACATGTGATGTTTTGAACATTTTGGGGGCTGGGGATTGGTAATTTCACCAAAAAAAACCCTTTACACTCTCATGTCTGGAAGAAAGGAGGATACCCGCACCTCAAGCCCAGCCTGGTGGCACCGGTGGACATTAGGTCACACTCCTCTTGCTGTGAACTGTCCAAAACTTGCCCACTGTGCTTGGAATAAAATCCTCACTCACTGTACACACTTAGCGTATATCATGGGCCAGATATTTTTCTAAGCACTTTACACATGATTTCTTTTAATCCTTTACAGCCACCCTATGAACTTGATATTATTAGCCCATTTTACAGGTGAGAAAACTGAGGCACAGAGAGGTTAAAGCCCTGCATGATATGGCCCCTATCTCTGACCTAATCTTTCCCTCTCATGCAACCATTTGGCTGTTCAAGGATCCCTCCTGTTCAAAGACCCACCTCAGGGGCTTTGCATAGTTTGGTCCCTCTGCTTGGCACAATCTCCTCCCGAATAATCATGTGTCTGCCTCTACGTCATCATTTAGGTCTCAGCTCAAGTGCTGCCTTTCCAGAGAGGCCTATCCTGAGCCCTCCAGTTGCTTTAGATCACGTAGATCACATAACCATGTTATTTCTTTATAGATTGTCATCTGTCTCTCCACCAGAATGTAAGACCCAGGGATCAGAGCTTGTCGACAGCTAGTTCAGTGCCTGGCTATTACAGGAGTTCAAAAAGTAGTTATTGAATCAGTAACTGGGATCCTTATAATCTTAATAAATGATTAAAAAAATGAGTGCAGGCTACAACCCCTATTACTAGCACATGTATTTATACAACAACGTAAACTCACTTACAGATACAAGGCAGGCAGTGTTAGAGCCCTTACAGGAAGTTAGAAACAGCTCAGAGTGGTTACGGTGACTTACCTAAAGCCACCCAGCACATCAGTGGCAAAGCCCAGCTCTGACTTCCACCCAACTGTGTTTTCCATGGCCTGACTGTGGCAGAGACTGAGGAGATGCTCAGCAATCTTGTTTTCTCTGCCTGGGCACACAGGAAATCAACAGTTCCCAGCCTCCACTGCAATTCGGCTGGGGCCATTGACTGGCCCCCAGTCAACGGTCCGTGGGTACAAGTGATGCACACACCTCCAGGCCTGGCCACAGAACGTCTGGTGCAATCCTTCTGCAGTTCTCTTTTCGCTCTAAGGAGGGAATTCAACGGAGGAAAATGGAACATTCTAGGAGACGGCAGAGCCACAGAGGAGCTAATGCTCAAAGGACGGCTGCCCAGGACAGCCATCCACCTGCAATGGACTGTGAAGGGAGCAAGAAATAGCCATTTGTTGGGTGAGGCCACTGAAACCTGGGGGGTCATTTGTTACAGCTCTGCACTTTGTGTTAATAACCCTGATTAACAAATGGATAGTGACGTTCACCTGCTATCCTTACCCAGCAGCGCCCTGACAGGCAACTGTGGAGACATCTTTGTTCTTTTTGCCGCGTATAAATTCTATACGAATCAACGCTATAATATAGCCATCCAAAGAGCAGATAGTCCCGGGCTGCTTGAACAGCAGGGGAAGCAACAGGCAATTTGGAGCAATCGCAAAAGTGAGTAAAATCAGCTCCACTGAGGTACATCTGTAATTTCAGTGGCCCCTGCAAAAGTGTAACTCATACCTCTGGCACCACTATCATGACCCTCTGAGTCCCTTATGTGTAGCCGGTCAGCTGGGGTGACACGGCGATCAGCAGCCGTGAGTGCTTCTTGAGCTGAGAAAAGACGTGGACCTGTTAGCCAAAGGCTTGGCTGTGAAATGAACGAGAACCTGGGCTTCAGATTATGCCTCTTTTGCAAATGCTCCCTAAGGGTGAAGACGAAAATGTCAGAGGGGAAATTGAGGCTGTGGTGGCGCCACCCAGCACCGTTGAGGGTTACTGAACTCAAGTCTGCCAAGAGAAAACACAAGTGGGAAACACTGGAACACCAAAGCAGAACCCAGAGCAACGGGACCCCTGAGATAGTTACAGCCAGGATGGGGGGACAAGCGATTGGGCAATGAGCTGCGGTTTAGGTCTTGCTTGGGGGAGGAGATAAAGTTTAAATGTAGAGTCCCATAGTCCCGTCCCCACCTTGTCCATGGGCATACGTTCCGAGAGCCCCATTGGATGCCTGAAACCTCGGATAGTACAGAACCTTTTCTACACTGTTTTTTTCTATACATACATACCTATGATAAAGTTGAATTTATAAAGCAGGCACGATAAGGCATTAACAACAAAAACTCATAATAAAATAGGACAATCATAGTAATAAACTGCAGTAAAAATTAGGTGAACATGGTCTTTCACAAAATATCTCATTGTATTGTATACATCCTTTCCCTTCTGACCATGATGTGAGAGGAGAAAATGGCTGCATGAGGAGAGGAAGGGTGGGGGACGACCCTGGAGGTGCGGCACAGCCCTGGGCTACTGTCGGCTGCTGCTGGGCCATGGCTGACTGTGGGAAACTGCGTGAAGCAAGGCTGCAGGTAAGGGGGCACTACTGTGTTCTCTTCACAGAGGCGCATCTTCCGGTTTTCCTGTGGCTGGTATCGCTAGGACCCTACTCTGGATGTAAGTGATGACAAATCTGAGCAAGGTATGCATTCATTGTCAACTTCCTTGAAAACTGGACATTCACTACTTGATTTTCATTAAAAATGGGGAGCTATTTGTTCCCCAAAGGGTTTACTGCAAAATAAAAAAAGCATTACCAAACAATAAAATTTTTTTTTTTTTTTAAAGATTTTTATTTTATTTATTCATGAGAGACAGGGAGAAGCAGGCTCCCAAGGAGCGGGAAGCCCGATGCGGGACTCGATCCCAGGACCCTGGGATCATGACCTGAGCCGAAGGCAGACGCTTAACCATCTGAGCCACCCAGGCGCCCAAACAATAAAATTTTTAAAAGCACTGCCACACGATAAATATTTATAAAACAAAGAGCTGTAAATTCATACCAAGCAGTAAGTAACAAAACCACGGTAGCAAGAGCAGTCAGACTATTCCACAGCAGGGCAGCTCAGCTTCCATGGCCCAGCATCTACTTCTTGTATAACAAACCTATACTTCCCATGTTGTCCACTGAATCAGCCAACGGGTAGCCTGGCGGTGCGCGGCGTCTCCCTGCCCAGCGTGCAAACCACAGCAGCACCAAACACTTGTCGCCCCTCCCCCCAAGACAGGAACCTAGTGGCCGACGCCCAAGTTGTTTCATGTGATTTGTGTGTGTCTTAAATGCTGTCCCTGAAAGGTGTTCATTGTATCAGGCAAAGATGTGAGTTCTCACAGTTGTCTTTCACACTTAACCATGTGTTGAAGAGAGAACTGTGGGCACCGCATATGTGCATGATACACTTCTAGACAAGACCAGAGCAGAAGATGTGAGTTCAAAGTGAGCTCTACCAAGCCCATCCTAGATTATTTTTTTTACGTTTTTAAAATTTTAAATTCAATTAATTAACATATAATGTATTATTAGTTTCAGAGGTAGAAGTGATTCATCAGTCTTACATAATATCCAGTGCTCTCCTTAATGTCCATCACCAATTACCCCATTCCCCCGCTCCCCTCCACTCCAGCAACCATCAGTTTGATTCCTATGATTAAGAGTCTCTTATGGTTTGTCTCCCTCTCTGATTTCATCCTGTTTTATTTTTTCCTCCCTTCCCCTATGGTCCTCTATTTTGTTTCTTAAATTTCACATATCAATGAGATCATATAATTGTCTTTCTCTGATTACTTATTTTGCGTAGCATAATACCCTCTAGTTCCATCCACGTCGTTGCAAATGGCAAGATTTCATTTTTTCAATGGCTGAATAGTATTCCATTGTATATATATACCACATCTTCTTTATCCATTCATCTGTCGATGGACATCTTGGCTCTTTCCACAGTTTGGCTGCTGTGGACATTGCTACTATAAACATCGGGGCGCACGTACCCCTTCAGATCACTAC